CTTCTAGGATTGGTTCTTTGAAGGTGGTTACATAAAGCTGTCAAGCCACAATCTACTGATAACTGCTCCACTAATACTAAATATATCTCTTTTCAAAGGTGATGTCAAATAAGGCCAAGTTACAAAATGATAACAAAAATAAAAACTAAAAAATGTTAAAGATTGAAATCTTTATCTAATATTATAAATCTGAAGAGTTTGTTTGTTGGTTTATTTGTTTGAACACCCTAATTCCAGGAATCATTAGTTCATATTAGATATCCTTTTGTATTGGATCATTTGGACTATTCATCGAGAAAGGCGTTAGGCTTTTTAACACGACCAGTAGAGCGAAGAAACAGTGGAAAATTTGGTTAAACGCGGAAAATTATTCATGTTTTAGGGCGTCCGTTAGGCGTTGCGTGCGATGCAAGACCGGGCCAAGAAACCAAAAAGTATGTAAAAACGAATCGTTTCTCTTTAAATTGTAAAAATGTCCCAGAAATAAAATATCTATCTTTTAGGATTAATTTACAAGAACCGTTTTTATGATATTCATATTTGGTCGAAAATAATGCATGATTATCAGTTATTCGTTTGCGTTGTCTCAACATAATAATAATGGTTACGCTAACAACAAAACAAAGTTCACCGGATTATTTTTGGAAACAGAAATTTGACTCCCATTTGGCGTTAGTAAATTTAAAAGACTCATATCGTGGGTTTATTGTTTCTGATAATGAGTTAAGGCGACAAAACAAAATACATAAATTCTTGATAAGGTATTGTCTTTACAGCTGGGTTAAAGTATTCTTGTATAAGATTCACAATCGCAGACAGTTGTTGGCGTATTCTGCGTAAACAGAAACATCTTAACAGCGCTGTCATCAGTTGCAATTCGACTTTAACAAATAAACAGCAGTTTACAGCAAAATCGAAACAATACACAGTTAAGTATTTAAAAATAATAAGTTCTCATAAAAGCGTTAAGTTGTCTAGTTTTAAGTACTAGATAATTCTTAATGAAACTCAGTATTTTTTATCAGAGCTTTTGCCCGTTGTCGACATTCCTTATGTAGTCACAATTTAAATAAATAATTTTATTTGAAAACATATGTTATTGCATATGGCACCATAATAAGATATATAGTATCATCGTGTGCAATAACATTTCGTTAATCGGTTTTAGATAAAAAAAAACACGAACAGAACTCGAACCGGCATCCACAGCGATCCGTCGTGTTGATAAACTAACTAACAGTTGTCACGGTAGCAAAATTGGTTAGAACATCAGCACGGAACGCTGCACATTCCGGTTCATGTCCTACTCGTGCCGTAAAGTGTTTCCAGTCCAAAACCAATTAATGAATATAATCTAAAATTAATTAATAATTATATTTTCAATAAAATAAAAGTCGACTTTTTATCGCCAAAAACTTGCTGCGTCAGTGTGAGTTGCAGCACGTTACCACGTTGATTTTCAGCGCAACTTTTACGTCTTCTGTTAGGTTAGGCACAAAAAATGACAAACGTATAATAAATTGTACCAATATTACATACCCATCTTGTACTGAAGAATCATATCATCATAGTGAAAATTGTTCTAGAAAACTAATTTTTCAAACGAGTTTCATAAGAGCTGCAAATATAATAACAGCGCGGTTACATTTAGACGGTTTCCACGAAACTCTTATTATTGCGGGTTCGAGCCTTGAACTAGTTAACTAATAATAGCCTCGCTGAAAAGCTGAAAATACTATTATTTTGTAACTTACTGACCTTCTGTTTCGTCTGGAGATCATATGTGAAGATGCATGTTTTTGTTTTGCAAGCAACGTTAGGCGTATTGTAAGCTTTTGAACTTGCAAATAAATTCGTTTTTAGCATTTTATTATTTATGTATTTATTATGTATTAGCGCACGTACAGTGGGGATATTGTCTTTTTTAAAACCAGCTTAGTGCTTGAGAACTTTTGGGAGAAGGAAACTTATATATATAAATTATATTTTCTATTTACTGTATCCGACTTCCGATCCGCTCCCGTAAAAATCTTCATATCTTTGTTATTATTTATCGTCTTCTCTTCGATCCCCAATCTCCGCCCTATTTAAAAGAAAACTTTCTTCCTTTAAACTCGAATAACCTGAATCTTCTCTATCCACGATCTTCTGCTATTTATTCCTGCACATAAAACCTCTTTGTTTGTCCATTAATCTCTGGAACTCTCTCCTCTCTGATATCAAAAAAGATCAATCTCTCCGTTCTTTAAAAACACCTCAGTATTCAAATATTACCTTTCACGTTCTTAATTGATTTTCTTCATTATTCTACTTACTACCCATAGGCCTCTTTTTTTCCCCTTCACTTCAGGTTGCCTGGAAGAGATCGCTGTTTAACGATAAGCCGCCTTTTATTTAAAAGATAGTTGATAACGAATAAAGTTAAATAAATAAATAAATATTGTAATTTTTGTGAAATAAACTAAAATAATAATAGTACTTACACGCGTGCGTTCATTAAAAACGTATTACCCAATAAACATGATAAATATGAATAATAAATGTAATTAACCGCTATAACACTTTAATAAACTTTATTTATGATTGATGATATCAGCAGGTTGCCAAAATTCTGCAGCGATTTCTACCTATACACAAATATATTGTTTTCCACGTGACTCATGTGGAAAACCAAACGTTATCGTTTCGGGGAAACTTTTACGCGTCTAGATAGCATTTTTCTTATGAATCTTTGTAAATCTCTAGCGTTAAGGAAAATTCAATGCATAGACAAATCTATGTGTATTTTTTTAGTCAATATGCCTATTTTACAAATATTATAATATTGTTTGCATTGTGTTTTTTTTATTATAGAAATTAAGCCAGACCTACCTATCTAGGCACTTAAATGTCATTTTAATATTTATTACACCGAGTACTGAGTACTCGACCCATCTCTAATGTTTATAATGGTGTAACGACATGGTAACATTATGGGTTTAGTTGAATAAGTATTTTTATATAATATATCAGTAGTATTTGCCCTATAAAGTAAATTCATGAAATCGCACGTAACTGTTAAATACGAATGTAAAACCCGTAATATATTTTCATTGTCCTTACGCAATCAAGCTAAATCTTTGATTTCGAATCGGCGAGCAATTGAACGATATATTTTAAACGTATTAAGACTTATGTTGTTTACCCTCGATGGCCCTGAATTAATTTTTCGTTAGCAACATCCGCGAAGATTTAAAAAGCGTTGTATAAGTAATAGGCTAAAGTAACTGAATAACTATCGTTTGTTTTAATATATTACTCTGTGTAGCTTACGCGACTAGTACACATTGAAATAAAACATCTTGAACGGTTTAAAACTGCTTTTTAATGGCGGGGGACTGAAGATGGAGGGTGTCCCTGATGTCTGCTACGCTAGCGCCATTAGAACCATCGGGACGTAGTTATTATACGTTTTAAATAAGTTTAAGTTAATATATTCCCCGTTTTCAACCGTTAACAGTGTCTTATTTAAATTTATCAATGTTCTTCTAAAATACCTATGTAATGTAGACTTGATATATTTAATCTCTTGTAAGATATTTTGAACGATTTGTGTCTTAAAACATTATTATTTATCAAATCATAGCTTATTTACATTTATAATGTCGAAACGATATTATAAATGTAAATCTATACCTTGTGTATTTAAAGAAAGTATGAGGCATTATAAATCTGCTTGAGATAGTTTAAATAAAAATAAACGTTAAACACCACATTCGACTAAGAAGGATCACGCTTGACTGGAAGAAAACTAATTTTCCTGAAATAATTCGTGTGCAATACATGGAATTTATTAAGAAAAAGCTTCTTTTCGGAGCATCGACCACCAACCGACCTTACCCCGATTGTTCTAATGCGGATGTCAGATTGCCTGATAGGCGACATATGTATGCACTTTGCATTCACAAAAACAACCTTCAAGATAATTTTAATTGTGAAGACGAGATGTTTCCGGATTTATTTTCAGCGTGTCACGCGGTCGGTGATCTGTATTTAATATCTACAATTATGCGTTTTATCTATAACAAAGTGGCCTCACCTGGGTGTTTTAAAGTTTCTGATTTGTCTATTAAATAAATATATATTTCTAGTATTATATAATTATTCAGGGTGGTTATTGCTATGTTATATTTTGTTTTTCAATAAAAACTAAAATACTTTCACTGAAAAATATCTATACGAACGTTATCCGAGTACTGAGTAACTATATATAATAATGTAACGTCCGTATCAATTTTAAATTTGCATTTTGATATCTTGAAATAGGGACACTAAAGTCAATAATATTTTTTTATGGCTCAATAATTTCGATTTTGAAAACACGGCAGTGAATCTGCCAGACTTCACTTTTCTTTTGAAATATGTCGCTGCTAATTTAATTTTCTGCTATAATATTTTTATGGCTGTCTTCATTTTGTTCTTTAAGCTGTGTTACATTTCCAACACACGTAGTCAGATCTTCAAGGAAATGCGTAATTTACAAGAATATTTACACTTATGTTCGCTCTTTGTCTTAAGAAAACGTTAATCATACTCGTGATGTTAATTTATGCCCTTAAAATGTTTTTATAACTATAAAGTCTGAGTGTTCTACTTTCGTGCGTTATCAATCAATTCTGTCTTTTTCATTACTTAAATATATATTATATTGATGTCCTATTTTACTTTTATATGCATTTATAACACAAATATTCTCTCTTTTCTCGTCTCAAAATAGCGCCTTACCGGAACAGAAATACACGAACACACCGTCTGCCTCCACAAAGGTGAGAATTAATGAGCTCGCGCTCCGCACAGCTTCGGATAAAGTCAGTCAGTTTTAAGCAGTCAAGCAAAACACACGATTATCCGCGTATCGAAAAATACTTCGCGAAAAACTTTTTTCCGAGTCGTTTGTTATGTAAGCGAGGACAGTGTTTGTAAACAAACGTTAATTATATTATGAAGACTGAGTAATTAAAATGTCGTTTTGTCGAATAACCGGAAGGAGTCGGGGGCTACCGAAGCCTAATTATTTCCCACTTCTGGCGCCGATTTCTCCAGCGGATGCAAAACGTTGTTGTAGGATAACAGGAAAATCTTATGGACTTCCGTCACATCATTACATTCCAGTTCTCTTAGTGTCTAGAACGAATAAATCTAAATGCAAAATCACAAATGTTTCGGGAGAACTTGGACCGCATCATTATTCGCCCGAAATTAATTATGGAAATAGGAAACACGACCTTCTACCAGATTATAGATATGTTTTTCCCGTATTGGACGGGTCAACGGAGGCACAAAAGTCACTCATGGAAATGCTCTCTATGAAACAGGTGACGGAAGATAAAAAATACGTTTACACTGTCGATGAAAGACGATGTAGCTTGGTATTTTGTTCTCGGATGGAAGCAGCAGTGCGCGATGGTGATGTGAGAGATGTAATGTTGGCGAAAGATTCCGACACAGTATTAATTAGAACAAAGCAGGGTAGAAGTGTTTCGATGGATTTCAAAGATTTTACGGATGATATTGATATGTACGACGGTGAGGGACCAAATGCCGAAGTAATGAAACAAAGAGAAATAGAAGAGTTGGAAGAAAAAAAGAAAAAACGTAAACGAGCTGCCGCCTTATCGTCTATGAAGAAAATATTTGAAAATAAAGAAAAGTTGGCGGAAGTACAAGAGGTTGAAGAAAAATTACTTCAAGATCGATTAGCAAAGAAAGCTAAATTAGATGTGCGACATGATAAACACGAAAATAAACAGTATACTTATAATAACTTCAATTTAGATCATATGCGTTCCAAAACAAGTATAATTATGTGCAGTGGCGATTGGAAAGATCAGATGCACCCATTATTAGAGTCCCCGGATTGGGACTCGTTCGAGAAACATATTTCTGAAGATAATTGCAGTCCGAAAATCAATATTTTACCAAAACCTGTATGTATAACTCCATATCACTGTGAAGCGGAACTCTACGAAATCGATAATAATATTGCTGATATCTCAACCTCCCTAGAAAGTGTACCTTGCGTAAATCCATTAAAGCCGATTAAAGCACGACCATCCGAAGAGATCTTAAATGCTATTAAAGAAATGTCAGAAGAGCGTCTAAATGAAACATCAAATATTACAGAAAAATTGTTGCGAACCAAAAAAGTAGATATGATACCGAATCTTCAAGAGCTACCTGAAATTGTAAAAAACATCAAGAAGGGTAAAAGAGAGAAGCTCTCAAAAATCTCAGGGTTAACAATTGATATTAACAAGGCGAAAAAATTTGTACCAGGTCAATATATTAATACACCCCAAGGACCTCTTTTTGTAGCTGGGCAAACAGTGGAAACCCCAGTTGGACCTGTATTTGTACCAGGCTTAAGTGTAAAGACGCCTTTAGGTGTTAGTCTTTTACCTGGTCATATCGTTCATAACGAAAACACAAACGAACCAGTTTTTCTTTCTGGACAAGTCTTGCCAACAGCGGAAGGGGAGAAATTTGTTTGTGGGCAAACCATTAAAAACAAAGATGACACATACCGTTTTGCCGAAGGTCAAACAGTGTTATCAGAAGATGGTTTCAAATTTGTACCTGGTAAAATTATCAGCACTGGACCAGAGGATGTATTTGTTCCAGGGCAAACTATTTTAACGCCCGATGGAATTCAATTTATACCAGGACAAACATTTACTGAAAATGGTAATATTATTTTTACCCCAGGCCAGAACGCTAAAATAGAGGATGAGTGGCAATTTATACCAGGTCAGGTAGTTCATCAGGAGGACGAACTACATTTCGTACCTGGAGCGACACTGCCTACACCGAATGGTCTAAAATTTGTTCCTGGACAAACAGTTGCTGTAAACGGAGACATTTGTTTTGTACCAGGTATAACAAAACGCGATGAATCAGGATTTAAATTTGTTCCCGGAACCAATGTTCATACTGCTGACGGTCCCAAATTTGTTGAGGGTCAAATCATTCAGACCGAATACGGTGACAAATTTGTACCGGGTAAAACTGTAGTTCAAACAAATGGGCATGTTGAATTTTCAATAGCAAAATCTATAGACGATATCCAATCTACAGACAGCATGCCAGTTGGATTACCAATAGATATTAAAACCTGTTCAGTATCAGAAGAATCATTATATGTATTTGGACACATGATTCAAACTGGTCAAGGCATAGAATTTTATCCGGGACAAAAAATACCTAAAAATGAAGGTAAAGTTGTACCCGGACGTTTAGTGAAAAATGAAGCAGGGGAATCACGATTTGTACCTGGCACGATGGTAGACGGCATATTTGTACCTGGTCAAATCGTTTTTACCGAAAATGGAGAACAATTTGTTCCCGGACAGGTTATTGATACCAGTGATGGTCCTAAATTTGTTCCAGGACAAGTAGTTGATACAAGAAATGGACCAAAATTTGTACCTGGACAAACAATACATACAATAGATGGACCTCGATTTGTACCAGGGCAGATAATAGAAACAAAAGCTGGGCCTACATTTATTCCAGGCCAAGTAATATCTACTGACGATGGCTCAAGATTTGTTCCTGGTCAAGTAGTTGATACAGAAGAGGGACCACGTTTTGTTCCAGGAAGAGTAATAGAAAATGACGATAATGGTGTGACGTTTGTACCGGGTCAAATTGTACAAACACCAGAAGGTCTTAAATTTGTTGCTCCTGATCTTATTGAAGGAGAAGAAGGTTTAGAATTTTCCGTGCAGAGTTTTTTAGTAACACCGGAGGAATTAAAACTTTTGAAAGTGAAAACAAATCCTAATGATACTACTTCTACTAAAGGCGAACTAACTATAGATAGAACTATGTTAAGACAGTTGTCTGAAGCTGGAATGTCAATTGGAAGACAAGTTCCAGCGGAATTACCTGCAATTTCTATAGTTTTAAACGAAACGAAGAACGCAGAGGCCCTAAACGAATTTATCACAGAATTTGGTCTAAAAGACGCCGTAGCAAATCAGCTTATGGATGTAATTAAATCAATAATTGAAATGAGTGCACATCTAAAGACGGAAATTAATCAAAATTCTAACGAAACAGCGATTAACAATAGTGTAAAATCTGTGAAAAGTCGCTCAAGTAGAAACTTAACAAATGATGAAGATGGAACCCACGAAGAAAAACTTTACGAAAATAAAATAAAAAATTCAATTGCAGCAGCAGTTTTGGCTGCTTTAGTTACCGCTGAACAATTTCAAACAGCTAATATTAATAATAACGCAAAAGATAAATATCAACAAATTCTAAAATCCATTGATACAATACTAGGGAAAGAGATTGATGAAGATTTCGTGATGGCAATGTATAATATACTTGAAAAAGAAGATAAAAGAGACATCTTATGTGAAGAGATTCTGGATAATACAACGCAAAGTAAAATGGAGTTAATAAAAGTTGCTGTAAACTGTAAATTGCATAAAGATTCTTTATCTGAAAATGATATTATTGAAAAGTTTGGTGATTATTTGAAAAGTGAGAACGAGGTCCTGGGTCCGGCTTTTAAACATATTACGAAGAACGATACAAGTCTTCTCAATCATGTACTTGATAATATTTCAGATTCAATTTCTTTCATAGAATCTGAAAACACCGCTGGAGGATCATTACACCAAGCAATAGTTTCAGCCGTCCAAGAAAGCAGTAATCGAGAGCTTAAAAACGTTATTCAAAATACAGATCAGAAGGAACTACAAGAAATAGTTTTGCAGTCAGTAGGTTTAGCACGTGTGTTAGGTATGACTGATGTGGCAAGACATTTATCATCAATTGCAAAGAATGACAGTATAAGTTTATCTGATGTAACGAGTGACAATTGTTTGACTATCTTAAAAAGACTGACAGTTATGCGTAAATTAGCTAACCAATCGTCAGATTTAAATGAGGTTTTAATGAATCTGGCTAACTGCCCCGAAACTGCTAGAAAAGATCCAAGATTAAGGGAATTAGTTCGAGAAAGTGCCGCTCTTATGATCATACCGGAAGAAACACCTTTGATGACATCTGACGACGTCCCACTGAGTTTACTTCAACCTGAAAATAGCCTTGCAATGGAGGATTTCCTGTTCAAACGAAACAAGTGTTCCGGGGCACTTTTGATTGTGAAAAGGGGGTTGCAAGCTGTTGTCCCTCGAGAAGCGAGTCGAGGTGTCCTTACTGGTGAAATAGCGTACACTGTGCTCGACGAAAATGGAATAAGATATTTTGAGCCGATGCATGTATTCTCAGCTCTCAATTTAAGTAAACCGATCGCGCATCGCTTCAGTATCTACAGCTGTCCTATTGCTGATGAAAAAGACGACGATCTACAAAACTATAATGGATATTGCAACATTAGTAACAGCCAGATCACTACAAGATTGGGCGGTTGGGGTGGCCGATATAGCGGGATTAACCTTGAACGGGAAAACATTAGAAGTAGAATACATCATTACGACAACACACCTAGTTATAAAAGATATCCGTCTCGATCTTCTACACGATCAAGATCTAGTTGTAGCAAGAGTCCACCTAAGGTAATTGCTATGACCCTTGTCTTTTCAGGGTACGCTATATTTACATTATATTATGTACTTTAGGATGCGTAGATATTACAACAATATATATATAGGTGGCATTCACGATATTAATCAGTGAAACGTAGATGGAAATATTCGCCCAGTGCCCCATGGGGGGAAACGGGATTTCATATTTTTTAAATCTGTAATATATGTGTTATTTCTCGTGAAGATGTCTCGCCGTATCAAAAAGGGTATATCGTTATATTGTTTATTTATTTACAGGTAGACGACGTAGTTGTAGCAACGAGCGATTACAACGCGGTGACAGATGATGAGGTCTCCGTAAAGGCTGGGGATATTGTCGAAGTACTCGACACAAAAGCCGCCTTGGGTTCAAAGTAAGTTTACTATTCACAACCATGGCTTTGTACTCTGTGTAGTAAAGTTTGTCAAGTTTGATAATTCACGTTTTTAAAGTGTACGGTAAATAATACCTTATTTAATTCTTGATCCAACTTATCATTCTATATTAGACAAAGTATAAAGCGCTTTGCACAACCATGCCCTAATTTATGTACATAAAATTGTATTTTTATAACAACAGATATCTCTTGTGTAATGCTTCGGGGCTTCTGCTAATCAGATCAAATTTATCTTCCTATTTCTTCTTCATTCATTAAAACGGTTGAGAAGTAAATATATTTAAACGTTGTATTTGAATACTTACCTTTTTAAATAAAACACAGTAGTTTGACGGGCTCTTTGGTTTAATAGTAGCAATGTATGGTCGTAAAGGGCATGAGTTCGATTCCTTCTAGGTTCAAAATGTTATTAATTCATTTTTCTGTAACATGTTGGACTTCATATGGAAATCTGGATATTCAATTGGTAGTAGAAGTATCAAAAAACCGCCTGGTTCATTAACTACTGTCTAGAAATAAAAAAAAACCCGTAAGGTTTCAGTTTCCGTCTGTAGATCCAAAGCTTAAAAGGGTCGACAGCACATCTTGATCAGATGTTATATGGCTGTGGTGTTTCACCTTACATGAACTCTCTTCAACTCTGAGTACCATAAAAAACCCTATTATTATGGTACTAAGGTTTTATACATACTTTTCTGCATTAAAAGTAGAAACTAGGGTGAACATTAAACATCGGCACTTCGTTTTATTATCACTCAGATGCGCTGGGAGATTAGCCTAAAATTAGAGAGGTCGATGCACTTTCTAACGCAGCAGTACATATGCACAGAAATATCGCCTATTTTAACTATTTATCAACACTCATATAACTACAGACCTGCATTGTTAGACAAGTTAACGATAACGAAGCAAAAGAAACTATATGCGCATACGCAAATGCACATGAAGGTTTAAATTAAATAAAAAAAATATTATGATTTATTTAAATAAGACTTTGTAAAATTGGTTTTAATCATTAAAATAGATTTCTCACGCTAATTTTGAAAGTTAAAATAACATTGAGAAGTACCTACATGGATTAAATAAAATCGATGGGGTCGAAGAGGACACGCTAAATCATTTCGAAGTGTTGCTCTGCATAAAACGTGATGACGGGTTCATGACCTGCCCGTGTCATTAATCATTTTTTCAATTGAAAAAAGATTTTTACATAGGAACAAAGTAACACACCGTTCCCGATTCATATATTTTTCAACTTCGCTATCGTTTTTCTCATTGTTAACTTTTCCATGATCGTAGATTTTTTTTAGAATTTATTTGTATGACAACATTTTTGCTTCATAAAACACACCATTCACCATTCACAACGCCATATTAACAGGTTGATTTTAAAAGCTAATTCACCCTTATCATAATTTAATACATAACATAATAAACACACGTTCTTGATACAGGTACAGAGGACGTGTCTATAGGTACGACAATCATTTCTTCCAGTCCAGAGGTTCGTCTTTGGACTATGTGTTTAGTGTACCGACGTACAAAATGTACTACTATTGATTTCAATTCAATATTGGAAGTAAAAAGGGGGGATAATCCCCGCCATTGTATATAACCTGCTTCTGGCTGAGAAAGCGTTCGTTGTTGTATTATCTTGATATATTTTTATTGTGATAACTATCATTTTGTTCTAATGTGATGTTTATTTAATATATTCTGAATATAATGTATTACAATTACAAGCACGCGATGTATTCAATAAAGACAATAAACTTCTTAAGAGTTTCCTTTTAGTGTAAGTTATAGATATTAGACTAGAATTATGTCGTCAGATATAAGCACTTATTATGGGCAGCTTTAAATTGTTCAGGTATTATTTTATTTCAGTTGAAACTTCTAGATCACAGAATGTTTCATAAGTTTTGCAGTTTGCACGATATTGATCAGTTAAAGCTACATATTCTAAGGCAGATCGCATTGTCTTATAGGCTCTCCTATGGCAGCAATATACTGGTTACTATTCAAAAGGAGTTCAATTCTCACTTGTTAAGATATGTATCTAGAATATCACCAGTATATTATATGTAGTGAAAACCAGTCGGAATAATCTGGACGAATTGGTTGTAGGAATATAATGCCATCCGAATCACGAACAACCCTCCACATAGGGTAAGGACACGAAGTGATGATTCTAACACAAAACAGGGTTGGGGATTTTGGATTTTCATCAAGTCCCTTGTATATATTTTTGTATCCTTCTGTGTCATAAAAAAGAACTTATAAATTGGTTAGGCTTTTCCTTTAAATTTCTACTAGTTAAGTATTACGAAAAGTCACACGTCTATAAAAACTATATATTATTTGAAACGTCGAATGGGCACCTGTTGTGTGTGTTCGAGATAGTTCGAAATTCTTTAAATCTTTCAATCCAACCACCATGACTGCTCATTCTAAATATATAAAAATACCTAGGCGTTGTTACAAGACGATGGTAGTTGGAAAAACACTATAACGTTTTAAAACGCGATATATATTAGATGACTTATTTGAGGGTCCGTAGTAGTAATTTTCGAATAAGTGATAATAAAAATATTGTAATATATATCGCATTTTTTTAACACATTTTTTTTATAAATAATTTGCCGCATTATTAGGTTTTGAGATCATTATATCTACTTACATTTATTTTAATGTGTATACATTTCAAGAACGAGGTTAGTACACACCTTATCTTGTTTCAAAATAAACGGTTAAGTATAGAAAGCTTCTGGAAATTCGCCAACGCGACGCCTTCTAAGAAATCCACTTGATGTACAGACATAAATTAAGTCACTTAGGCACCACCCATGATATCATTCATAGAGGATTTTTAAAATTAATATCAAATCATAACTAGAGGCAGAGTAGCCTAACTGTAATTTTATGACATGAGTTATATTTTCATAGTCCAAAATGTTAATCTACAAGAGCATAGTAGCCGAAATTTGTTATTATAATTTTTACACAAATTAAAGTACAAATTCATTTTCACCTAAGATAATTGCGTATTTTTATTTTCCTTCTTATTGAAAATCATGTTTTATGGTTATTAGGCCACTCTGCCAGCATCATATATCTAATGTAATGAACTACAATAGATAGATATATATCTTACACGCCGGTAAAGGGAAGTGATTTAACTATGAAAAAATTAAGAATTGATAAATAATATCTAACACAATCTAGCATAAATGTTAGAGATAATAGGTCGAAGGCGCACAGTAGTTAGATGTTTTGTCTGGGCCATTTTACCTTCCGTCAAGTGATTCCCACGCATCGTCGTTCTTTTCCATCTATAGTTTACGCGAGTAGTACAAATTTTCATAAAAAAGTTTTAAACGCGATATATTTTGATAATTTATTTTTAACTGCGGCGTAACGCTTAGGATGGTTGTCAGACACCTGTGGCTTCTAATAAAAAGGCATAAATAAAGTAAATATAGATGTAGTGATCTTTAAAAGTATTAATAAATAAAACATTTTAACGGTTTAAAACGCGATATATGTTAGTTGTTTATTTGAAAATTACTTTTAACTCGGCCCGACATTTCGGATGCTTTGCAGCAACAGTGGTCACCGGGAGAATTAGTTTTCCTAATAAATGCCGCGTTTTAAACCGTTACAGTGTTTTTTTAAGTGTGTACTGCTCGCGTAAACTATAGACATTATTTAATATGTAGATATATTAGGGAGAGACAGATTTAGAATTTTATGGTTGATGTAAAAGCAATAACAAGACAGTTGTATTGTATATGTATGAATGATAATTGAGGAAAATCGGGACATTTGGAAGATGTACAAGCCGGTTTAATTGAGTTTTGACAACTGTAAAAACATCTGTTTTACACGTTTTTTCCATCGACACAATGACTCCGGGTAGAAAAGCGTCGGCGATGACGTCACGAAGTTTCTGGGGCGCTTGAAATAGCTGCGTGTTCTGACGAAACTACATGCAGCAGTCTTAACTTGAATGACATGACATGAGAAATTTAACGGTGTGTATGTTGAAAGGAGTTTTAGCGCTTCCGTAGCTCAATGATTAAAAATGAGTGAATGAGGGTTCAAATCGCGGGAAAAAATATTGTTTCAGTCACAGGAGTCCCATGAAATTTTTTTCTGAGAATATTGATATACCGGTGCGGCAGACATACAAATGTATCTGCCCCAAGCTTGCCTGATTTCACTTTCTATTTAAAAAGTATAAGCCATGTCTAATCGTTCCCATATTGTATTCTTAGAGCATGCGTGGTAGAGACATTATTCTCTTCTTAGTAGTCAAAAACAAGGTTTTTGTCAAGGTAGCTCGCTATACTCTATCTGATATAGGATGATAAGTTTAACAGTTTACGTAATAAAATATTACACTCTACTTTATTAAAGGGTTTAAATATTTTGTAGAATTAATATATCTATCAAGACTACAAAATGTCAACGTTTATCTAATTTTCAATCAAAAAACGTCTCCAACAGGTGTTCCTTTGCTTTGTTGTTCTTCTTGTATTGCAAAACTCGATCGTAGACACAATTAACAATATGATTGACGTTGTGCGAGGTAAAGAAAAAACATAGACTGGATTAGGCTTTAATAAAAATGGATAATAATTCTCAGTACAGTTACACCATGACACCGCTATTGCCGCCCTTTTTTATATTACAACAACAAAATGGCTGAACATCCACAGACTATAAAATATTTTATTGCCATGTTAAAAATCAGGCCTTATGAAGGGATACATACTCCTCTAGTAAATTATATATTTTTTCATCATATATTAGACAAAGTATTGTCATATAAGCAAAGCGGATGCGTGTGGGTCCATGACATTGTAGTGTTCTGATTCTGGCAGGTTGAGTGATTGATGGCAACACGATATTCACATCCCACTTGAAAGAAAATTATAAAAGACATATTGGTGGGAGACGCCAAACTACAAATAGATTTGGTAAATTAGCTTCAGGCGAACTTTTGTTAGCATCACTTGTAATTCTTATGGAAAATGCGTCTTAATCATTGTAAGGTTATATATAATTACTGAAACTGCTCGCTACCATTAAAAATTGAGCTTTGAAGTTGTCACAGTAATGCTATGCTATTAATAAAACTTGAACAACCTCAAACAAAAAAGCGACAATTTAAAATGGACTACAGAACATAAAAATAAAAACAATTCTAAAGTTTTTAAGGTGCTATATTGTACAAATTTTGATGATTTTGAGTTAAGGAGATTTAGAGCGACTTTGGCAATAATGTTAATAATAAATATAATCGTAGGGTATGTCTTCGTAACTAGCGCGTTTTATTATAAGAAAGTAGTGTGTTTAGACACCATAAATTAGAGTCATTTTAAATATCTAGATAATATTAACCCTGATTCCTGACCAAACTGATAAATAATGAAATATTATAGTCAGGAAACAAAATTTCATGGGTTAAAAATGTTCATTGTTATCAAAGTTTTATTTATTAGTAAATATTATGATAAATTTTTTATTATCTATTCTTTGTAAATTTATCGTATGATAAAATTAAATTTAATGCAATATTAAACTTTGTCATGTGCTTTTTGATTATTCGAATATAAATGATCGGATACTCTTTTTAAAATACCAAATAATTATATTATCCATGTTACCTCTTCCTCTATTAGCTGCCGCAATGTCTCATCATCGAAGAATCAGCATGACAGTAACCATCCCTAAAACATTTATTATATATAATACTTTTATTTAAAATTATATCTTGCTTACCTAATACTAACCTCGTCAGTAAGTTGTTCACTATTTGTAAAACATGTCTAACTGTTTCATGTTTGATAAGGTATCTAAATACCTTATCATTAATACTACCTACCTACCTGTAATCAACAGTGGATCCAGCTTGAAAATTCTATGTATACATAATAATAATTAATCAATAGACGCAAAAGAGGCGAATAAACTTCCTTACAAAATCGCCAGCCTCTAGATTCACCTTGTTTATATCCAGTCTTCCTATAGTACTGTACTTGTCTTTTCATTCATTCCCTTCACCCCCAGGTCTCGGCTCCTAAAAGAGCTGGATGTGGAGGTGAATCTGCTCGACTCATCAGCAGCTAAGCATAAGATAGCAGTTCGACCAAAGAAAAATCACCCAAAAGTGAAATCTGTACTGAAACAAAACGGAGAGAGGTAATGATTTAAGTAAAAGGACTCGTACTAACGATAAACTTACGCTTTACAGCTTAGCTAATTTAAAAAAAATCTTTGTAAAGCGTTCGATGGCCTATTGTGAAGTAATAATTATATCCTACTAGATGTGCCCGCGACAATGTCCGCTTGGAATAGTGACTTTAGGTAGAATTTTTAATTATTTAGGCTGTTTATTAATTTATGTAAAGGCGTATTTAAGGCAGCCAATCTATGAGTGGGAGTGGGAGTATATATATATATACTCCCACTCCTATTCTCAAAAACCCAAAGAAGAAAGTTTCATTGAAGCAAAGTTTCTTCCAAAACGACGAATTTCCATATAAACTTTCATCCCCTTTTTCAACCCCTATCAAGCCTTTTTGGCATTAAAAAGTAGCCTTTCTCAGGCTCTAAAATATTTATATACCAAATTTAATTTAAATCGGTTTAGTAGTTTCGGAGTTAAAGCCGGACAGACAGACAGACAGAGTTACTTTCGCATTTATAATATTAGTATAGATATTGTCAAAAAATGAATTTTAGATATATGTTGTCTAAGCTATAATATTAATAGTAAACTTGACCTGAATATGTCAATATTCGATAGAAACAAAATAAACGGCTTGTCGCGTTGGTATTAATTGAAATTATTGGCATAAGAATCGTTTAGACTTTGCTCGCTCGTAAATCTAACATTAGTTCCGTAAGCCGCCTAAATATTTAACATTAATTAATTGCTTTAGTTGAAATATAAATCACCATTTTGAAATCTAAGATTGGCACCTAAATTGTTATAACAACTACGACTACAAGATACTTTGATAAATTATCCAAATAATGTTACATAAACGAATATTTATAATTTTATAGACTCAAACCTCCCTCCAACTCTCTCTCGTTCTGCCGTTTTGTTCTCATTTCCTGCTGTATCTTCGCTTCTATTTGTCACAGCGCGATGTTTTATAGCCTTAACCAACACAAGAATTTTGCAAATCGAACCACTACCTTTTGAGATAATTTCTTTAAAAAAATCTCTTCAGCGTCATAATATTAGTATAGATTTTGACATACTATGAATAAGATAACATAAAAGCGAAAATAAACAATATCTATAAAACGACCACTTATGCCATATATATTTAACTAGCTGTGCCAGGGACTTCGTCCGCGAGAATCGTTATTTTAATACAAATAAGTTTTTGCAAACCCCGTCATCTTTATAAACTTAAGCTGTTAGCCACAACGTTGATCGCGTCCCTTCCCGTCGTTCTTGCAAGTTAATATTAAAAGATATACATATAGCGTCGCGTTTTCCTTACACAATTTTTTAGTATCTTGTACCGTTTTCGAAGCGTACAAATCTGAAACCTACAGAGATGAATATTCCCCCCGTTTTTTCACATTTCTCGCTATATCTTCGCTGCTATTAGTCACATCGCAATGTGTTATAGTCTATAACCTTCCTCGATAAATGCTCTAACCAACACAAAAAGAATTTTTCAATTAGAACTCGTAGTTCCTGAGATTAGCGCGTTCAAACAAACTCTTCAGCTTTACATATTAGTATAGATAACTGTTTAAAACATTGAGTTATTGATGATAAGTAAAACTATACATTTAAAATAAGACGCTTTTTATATTGTCCAAACGTAAATATTCGGTTTTGGCCCACTTAATTAGTTATTAATGGACAAACATTAGTCTCCTTGTTACTGAACATTGTGTAACGTCTAGAAAACTATTAGGTGACCTAGATTCGAAGACACACCGCTTTACTGGTTTTCTTTTATCTTTTAGCCTAATGTAATGCAAAACAGCGCTAAAAATTAAAAACCTATTAAACCATAAAACATTTAAAGTCAACACCGATATGTTTTCAAATTAATATTAGTAGGTGGACATTTTTCAATTCGTGAAAAAATTTCGACTTGATAAATCTCCGGTCGCTAGAATGTATCGTTCCTCTGTTATTCTCTGAATTCATTTGTATTCATTTTGAATATTCGACCGTTTTATCGTTGCTCTAAATCTGATTAATGAACAAACATTCTCTGAAGTGGTTCATTGAGATATTTATGTAATTAAGTAGAATGTCAGACCATGTATCCAACCAAGACCTATTTATTAGACTTGTGCCCTGAAAAGCTAACCCATCAACATCATATCTATATCTCTATACTAGTATTTAAAGCTGTCGGTTTGTTTGTTTTAACGCGCTAATCTCAGGTACTACTGGTTCGAAGTCAAAGATTCTTTTTGTGTTGGTTACGGCATTTATCGAGGAAGGCTATAAAATCGCGCTCTGACTGCCCTCCGTTTATCATCCGCGTATACAAATATTCCTATGTCAAAAAAACATTTATTTCAAGGTGTAAGTATTGTATATTGTCTTTCATTTCGAGGAGAAGAAAGTTATAATTTTGCTTATTTTCATGCACTAATTATTATTTATGTGCAATAAAACATTACAATTAAGTATTGTTTGTAGTTTTCGTAAGTACTACACATTTGAATAAAACACTCTGACGGTTTAAAAAGCGATATATCCAGCAGCATCATAGCATCCGAAGCATCGGATCGTAGTTAAGATAATTTTCAAATGAGTTGAACTAATATATATCGCGTTTTAAACCGTTAAAGTGTTTCATTTAAATTAAACTAAAGTCATTTTTGTATAATTACTAGTAGTTATAAGTGTAAACATGACGTTGTAACGAAAACCGTGGAAAGTTCTCGCGACACCGGCCTAAAAACGTAGATGCAAAATGATGTCCCAAATTCTGTTTCTCTGAATTCGTAACAAATCATACTGTTCTCGATCTATTCTTATAAAATTGTTATCACCTGCCTATTAGTCTTGATATGTTCCTCTTTGAAGTTGTAAATGGGACAAAATGTTGTCGCTACGAACGATGTTAATTTAATCATTGTCTACGGGGGTCAATGTACTGAATATTGTTACATTAAACTAGAGAAAGTATCGATAATTCGACCTACGGAATTTTGGTTAAAGTATTTTAATAGCTTTTGTTTTTTAGCAAACTAATCTTGTGTTTTAAGTTTAATTTAAACCAAGTTGCTGTTCTCGTATCAACGTAAAACATTCTATGGGCTATAAGAACTTTTTTTTTCTTTAACTGACAGCCTATTGCATCTGAACAAGACTGTCGACTTATTTTGGCTTAGGATATTTGGAAATCCACAGACATAAACCGAAACGCGATTAAGCTTCACAGCTTTTTCATCCGTGGACGGCGGTTCAAGACCTAGACGGAATTTCTATTTTCCTACCCATTTAATGTCCAGGTTTTCAGACGAACTCCAACATGTTTCAGATAATCAGGAACATGTTGAACCCGGTGGGGATCGAAGCGAAAACCCGTTGATAGCCATTCATTGCTACTATTAGACCCACGAACCCGTCAAATCATGAAGCGGAAACATTTCTGTGTCCAAATCACAGATCGGTTTTGTGCACAGGTACATATAGAACGCGTCTATGTCCTTTTCGCTTTTTCAGACCATTTTGAGGGTAGTGAAAATATACATATCGAAATTCTGGAAATCACACGAACAGAACACGATCATTTGCCAAGAAACCGTCTCCAATATAATATTTCCGACTGCTGTCCTACTTCTAAAATGGCAATTCCGAATTGTGAGATTTGTAGTCACGTAGCTTTGTTTTCGTTTTAAATTGGAATTTATGGAGTTAAATGTTTTTACACATTGGTGGTGTTAATTTTATTCTTAATAAAGCTTCAAACGTTTCGTAGTATTTTTTGGTGGAGTTGACAACGTACATAATGAGGCTGCTAGAGGCAAAGTGGCCTAATAACAAAAAACATGATTTTCAGCTAGGAGGAGAATAAAAATGCGCCATAAAATTAGTCGAAAATGTTGCTGCGTTATTTATTTTTTACGTGAAAATTATGTTAACAATTTTCGGTCACTGTGCTCATGCAGATTAAGATTTTAGACTATAGAAACATTAATAAGTCAAGTCATTTGAATAAAATACTTTAACGGTTTAAAACGCGATATAATTTTGTTAAAATATATGGCGTTTAAAACTGTAAAAGTGTTTTATTCGTATGTGTACTACTCGCGTAAACTACAGACCGTAATTAAGTCAAGACATACAAATTTTAGTTAGCCTATTCTGCATCTAGCGGCCGCATGTTATCTCTTCTTATTTGTTTTTGACCAAAAAACCTTACACACTCAAACTGTTCACAACTAAACTAACTGCAACTACATATAGGAATATTTTATGTAATAATTACATTCAAAAGCGTTGAATAAAAATCAGACATGGATCTTCAATTTATCCTCAGTGTATAAGATGTGTTTGATTTCATCATAAATATAACGCGAAATGAATACGAAGGAATTAACAGTTTTTACTGCTCTGTCCGAATTTCACTCTTTAACCCTGCTCCATGAACTCTAATTATGGCAATGGAACGGAAGTCTAGAACTATGACGTCATTATTCGCAGCAAATATGTTTGATTTCCTAATGCTGAAAACTTTAATATTTTTCACATGTTGGCAGTACGTTAATTAAAAATTTGGAGCAACAGCATGCAACGCTGTGGATGCCGTTTCAAGTCCTGCCCGGATCGTAATTTTTTTCGATTTATAATTTTCCTAATGCTTTTAAAAGTTATTAAAAAGTGGTTAAATGTGTTAGCATTGCTTTGAGCGCGAGTGGTCCTAGGTTATAACTAATATATTCGCATTTTAAACCGTTTAAAGTATTTTATTAAAATTAAATGTATTACTGCAGGTTAAGGTGCTTTTGGCCGCCTTCTATTTACATGATTTTTTTCATATCTACATGCAACGTGAGTCTTGGTACTACAGACCTCTACGAAAAACTACGGCCTATGTCTACGACAAATTAGAAGGTCGTTTAACTTTTTGTAGCATCAGCTACGAGTTATGCGCAGTTTATAAAGTTAAATGAAAAAACATGAAATTTTTTGACCTACATTT